CAGTTGATTTAGCATAGAATTTATAAGCAGTGACAGTAACACATAGGTTTAATATTTCATTGGACAAGAAACTTTGTTGTCAATTCATTCAACTCCACTTAAGAATTTGTATGCAAAGTAAGAGTAATGATGTTCAATATTATTTTGGTTGGTTTTAGCACTTCTAGCTAAGCAAAGCCAAGGTATTTTCAGCAGTGAATTCAGCTTACTTAAACTTAGTTTAGGGACAGTCCTCTAAGGTATGGGTCATAGTTTGCACTTGATGGTTTGTATTGTCCTGAAGACCTCAACTAAAGGTGAAATGATTCAGAAGGGATCAGAAGCAATATGATAGATCAAAACCTAGTGGCTGTATAGCTGTATTTTGAACAATAAAGTGATTTGTTGCTGATGGCAGGGTGCAAGACGCCACTTGAGAAGTCCTTGTGTAGCAAAGCTAACTATAAGAGATTTCTGGACATGAAGTGAACTTGAGAAGGTGTAAGGAGAGCTAGGTATAGTGGGAAGGAAGTGACTTTAACCCCCTTGCTCCTCGGCTAAAGAATGTTCAGGGTAAATGTTCACTGAATTAATGCTACTTGTTACAGCCAACAGGATTGAGATACAAGCCTTGCAGTCCACAGCACAGTGGCCTAAGATAGCAGGAAGCTACACATTGGCCATACTCAATGAGGGTTTAGTAGCCTGAGAGCAAGACCAGACCTCTAAAAAGTGTCCCAGGTGCCCACCAACGCCCCTCTGTCACTCCCCTCCTCAGCTGGACAGGGGAGAGAAAATACAACGAAAGGCTCGTGGGTGGAGATAAGGGCAGGGAGAGATCATTCACCAATTACTGTCATGGGCAAAACAGACTCAACTTGGGGAAATTAGTTTAATTTATTGACAATCAAATCAGAGTCAGGTAATGAAAAGATAAAAACTACATCTTAAAACACCTTCCCCCCACCCCTCCCTTCTTCCCAGGCTTAACTTTACTCCAGATTTTCTCTACCTCCTCCCCCCAAGCGGTGCAGGGGGACGGGGAATGGGGGTTGTGGTCAGTTCATCACACGTTGCCTCTGCTGCTTCTTCCTCCTCAGGGAAGGACTCCTCACACGCTTCCCCTGCTCCAGCGTGGGGTCCCTCCCACGGCAGACAGTTCTCCATGAATTTCTCCAGCGTGAGTCCTTCCCATGCACTGCAGTTTTTCACGAACTGCTCCAGCGTGGGTCCCTTCCATGGGGTGCAGTCCTTCAGGAACAGACTGCTCCAGCGTGGGTCCCCCATGGGGTCACAAGTCCTGCCAGCAAACCTGCTCCAGTGTGGGGTCCTCTCTCCACGGGGCCACAGGTCCTGCCAGGAGCCTGCTCCAGCGCAGGCTTCCCAC